TGTTCTAGTTTTGTTTTTTTACATGTAGCTGTTCAGTTTTCCCAGCACCGTTTATTGAAGAGACTGTCTTTTCTCCATTGTAGTCTTGCCTCCTTTGTTGTAGATTAAATGACCATGGGTGCGTGGATTTATTTCTGGCTTTCTGTCCTGTTCCGTTGGTCTATATTTCTGTTTTTGTGCCAGTACCGTGCTGTTTTGATGACTGTGGCTTTGTAGTGTAATCTGAAGTCAGGGAGCCTGATTCCTCCAGCTCTGTTTTTCTTTGTCAAGATTGCTTTGGCTATTTGGGGTCTTTTGTGTCTCTATACAAATTTTCAGATTTTTTGATCTAGTTCTGTGAAAAATGCCATTGGTAATTTGATAGGGATTGCATTGAATCTGTAGATTGCCTTGGGTAGTATAGTCATTTTACCAATATTGATTCTTCCAATCCAAGAACATAGTATAGGTTTCCATCTGTTTGTTTCGTCTGCAGTTTCTTTCATCAGCATCATATAGTTTTCAGAGTACAGGTCTTTTGTCTCCTTAGGTAGGTTTATCCTAGGTATTTTATTCTTTTTGATGCAATGGTAAATAGGATTTTTTTAAAATTTCTCTTTCTGATCTTTTATTGTTAGTGTATAGAAATGCAACAGATTTCTGTATATTAATTTTGTATCCTGCAACTTTACCAGATTCGTTGATGAGCTCTAGTAATTTTCTGGTAGCATTTTAAGGATTTTCTATGTATAGTGTCACGTCATCTGCAAACAGTGACAGTTTTATGTCTTCTTTTCCAATTTGGATTCCTTTTATTTCTTTTTCTTCTCTGATTGCTGTGGCTAGGACTTCCAAAACTATGTTGAATAAAAGTGGTGAGAGTGGACATCCTTGTCTTGTTCCTGATCTTAGAGGAAATGCTTTCAGCTTTTCACCACTGAGTATGATGTTAGCTGTAGGTTTGTCATATATGGCCTTTATTATGTTGAGGTATGTTCTCTGCCCATTTTCTGGAGAGTTTTTTTAATCATAAATTGCTGTTGAATTTTGTCAAAAGCTTTTTCTGCATCTGTTGAGATGATCATATGGTTTTTATTCTTCAGTTTGTTGATGTGGTATAGCACATTGTTTGATTTGCGGATATCGAAAAATCCTTGCATCCCTGGGATAAATCCCACTCGCTCATGGTGTATGATCCTTTTAATGTATTGTTGGATTTGGATTGCTGGTATTTCATTGAGGATTTTGGCATCTATGTTCATCAGTGATATTGGCCTATAATTTTCTTTTTTTGTGGTATCTTTGTCTAGTTTTGGTATCAGGGTGATGGTGGCCTCATAGAATGAGTTCAGGAGTGTTCCTTCCTCTGCAATTTTTTGGAATAGTTTCAGAAGGAGAGGTGTTAACTCCTCTCTAAATGTTTGATAGAATTCGCCTGTGAAGCCCTCTGGTCCTAGACTTTTGCTTGTTGGGAGTTTTTTAATCACGGTTTCAATTTCAATACTTGTGATTGGTCTGTTCATATTTTCTGTTGATTCCTGGTTCAGTCTTGGGAGACTGTACATTTCTAAGAATTTGTCCATTTCTTCTAAGTTGTCCATTTTATTGGCATACAGTTGCTTGTAGTAGTCTCTTACGATCCTTTGTATTTCTGTGTTGTCCATTGTAACTTCTCCTTTTTCATTCCTAATTTTATTGATTTGAGCCCTCTCCTTTTTTTTCTTGATGAGTCTTGCTAAAGGTTTATCCATTTTGTTTATCTTTTCAAAGAACCAGCTTTTAGTTTCATTGATCATTTCTACTGTTTTCTTGTTCTCTAATCCATTTATTTCTGCTCTGATCTTTATAATTTCTTTCCCTCTGCGAACTTTGGGTTTTGTTTGCTCTTCTTTCTCTAGTTGCTTTAGGTGTAAGGTTAGGTTGTTTATTTGTGATATTTCCTGTTTCCTGAGGTAAGATTGTATTGCTATGGACTTGCCTCTTTGAACTGCTTTTGCTGCATCCCATAGGTTTTGGATCATTGTGATTTTGTTTTCATTTGTCTCTAGGTATTTTAATTTCCTCTTGGATTTCTTCAGTGATCCATTGGTTGTTTAGTAGCTATGTTTTTGTACCTTTGTTATTTGGGTTTTTTTCTCTTCCACTGATTTGGAGGTTATGCATTCTTTTTCTATTCATAGTTATGTGAATTTTTTGTGTACAAATTGAACCTATGTTTTTCTTTAAGTTTTTTCATATTGATATATATGAAAGGAAGTGAGAACTTTATCTTTTCCTCTTCCCAACCATCCCCCATTTCCCTCAGACTTTAAACGTTTTTTCTTTATAATATGTAAAGATTATTATTTTTTCCCCTTAGATCATATGTCTTTCTTTTTAAGAAGGGGCTTTATTTGCTATTTCATAATTTTTACAATTATTTTAGCAAGATATTTAGCAATATATGGTATGTCTCACTACTTTCTTAATCTCAAGTGATTTATTGAATACCATTTTTTTCCTCATACTTGACTTCTTTATGTTAATTTCTTTTCAATCAGTGAAATACATCTTGATTTACAGAAGTCATGCACATTCTCAAATGTCTTTCTCTTCCCTCATATTTACCAGTTGCTTGCCCAGATATAGAGTTTTGGGTTCATAATATTTTTTCCACATAGCTGTATATCTTATTTCATTCTTTTTTCATGGCATTTGTTTTTGCACAGGAGAAATGAAATGTCAATTTGATTTTCCCGTCTATTTTGTTTTTCTTTCCTAAACACTTGTCATACTTTTCCTTTGTTTTGGGTGTTAATCACTTTTTATTAATTTTGCCAGGAACTTGATGAATTTTTATTGCCCTGAAACTTCAAGTAAGGAATATTTTCTTGCATTAATATCACAGCTTTTACTTGTGTTGTTCTGGAATTTTCTGGCTTCTTTTTACTGCCTCCAACAACAGCTTTAATCTTGCTGTTACAGTTTATGTTTTCTTTTCCATTTGTATGTTTATCTTAATCATTTTCTCCTATAGCTGCTGCTTTCTGTTCCAAGGGTACAGTGTTGTCTTGCATCTTCTTGAAGATCTGTGCCAATATTTACTGAACTTTTTATAAAAAGGCATATTCAGAAATATGAATAATTCGATAATAATTCAGTATTTAATGCTATGATGCTTTGAAGTAATGTTCCCTTTTTTTCTGCTGAAGTATTTTTCATAAGTCACACATCGTTATAACTTTCCTACAAATGTTTCTCTCATTCTTAAATAGCTACAGCTTTATCAATTCTGGAATTTTCTACTATATACATGGGAAAATATTCTCTTCTGTTTTTAAATATAATCAAGAATGTTAGAAGCATGACTTTTTTCTAAAAATTATATTATACTACAAGTCTTCTCGCTCAATAATGATTTCTTCTGTTTTTAGCATATTTTAGTTGTTAAAACAAGGACTTTTGCATCTAGGAGACCTGGGTGTGAGACATAGAACATGTAGTGGTAAAGGACATGGCCTCTGGATCCCAATTCTCTTGGTTCAAACCCCAGCTTTGTCACTTACTGTGTAACTTTGGCAAGTTAGTTAACCTCTTAGTGCCTTAGTTTTCTCATCTGTAAAATGAGATTAATAATATTTGTTACTTCATAGGTTCTTAAGTGGATAAACAGATAATATTTATAAAATATGTATAACAGTCCCTGGGACATAGTGAATGCTATGAAAATATCTGCTTTAAAATTCTAGCTCTAATCTTCATCTCAATTTTGTTGTAAGCCTAAAAAAAAGTCTTTAAAAAAGATAAACAAGCCAGAGCTTGTCTACCTGGAAACAGGCCTTAAACAAACGACAGTAGGAAGAAGAAAGGAGTGTACTACCATTTAAAAATATTTGACTTACTAATTACAAACAAGATAAATGTGATTTTGAATTTCAACAGAAAAATATAATAAACCAATGTTAAATGCTAAAAAAATCTCCTAGCGCTATCACCTGTTACCTGAGTAACTTTAGTCAAATCATCAAATTACTCTAAGCCTCCATTCTCTCTTTAAAATGGACACAATACTAATAAAAGTAATGTACGTATTAATAAAAATATTAGTAATTATTAATACTACTTATTAATACTGTGAAGATTAAAGGAGATAATTTATATCAAGTATCACCACATAAGTGCACATTCCTTGGTCGCTACTATTTCTTTAAATAATCTAATGCATACTCGACTACACTACGTTTATTTGGCTTTATTAAGTATTGCAAGTCTCTTTATTCCACAATTTCTCTGTTGTTGAATTCTTAATTGTGAGTTACTTTACAGATGTGTAACTCCAGGGAGAGTAAGTACAGATTCAAAGCCGCATTGTCAGTGCAGAGGGAAGATATGAAGCAAGGTCAATCAGGTCCTGCTTTTCATCTTTTTTTTTTTTTTTTTCTTGAGCCTGGGAAAAGCAGGGTCTGTGATTCTTTTTTCTTCACAAGGCTTATTTCCCATCAGTAGGATCATTTCCCTCAAGCCCTTTACTTTCTCCTCACCCTTTGTCCAGTGCTTTGAACCGAAACAAGGGGCCCAGTGCTTTTTGCATTATCTACAACTATTCTATTCTGCTGGCAATGAGTGTTGGGGGACACAATGGGGGAGGTGAAGCTGCACAGGTTGGGGGGGGTTGATGGAATATGGGGTATACTGTCTTTAGCATGATGTTTTTACGCGTTGAGTATCATTGATTCCTTTTAGTCCATTTACATACATTGCTGTTTTGAATTTTCCCACAAATAGGCCCAGCCATATCATGCCATGATGTGTTTTGATTGTAACTAATTGTGGGACATCAAAGAGGCCACTTCATTACCTGCAAATAGCCAACTATGTCACTCTTTTAAAAAAATCTTGGTTTCTCTCCTTGCTTGAATTATACGATTATTTCTATGAAAAGCTATTGTTTGGGACTTTTCCCCCCTAATCAGTTTCCAAAATGTTGTTAACTGTCCATTGATGTACCCCACATAAAATGGGCTTCCCTGGCTTACCCACAGCTTGTCCATCCGGGACATACAAACCAGAAGGTTCACCAGGAGGAATCAGCACTTGCCTTCCATGTCCTGATGAAAATCACACTTCTCCACCTGGAAGTACTTCCCCTGAAGACTGTGTCTGCAAGGAGGGGTACCGGGCATCTGGCCAGACCTGCAAAGGTAAGGATGCCACCACTGGCAGATAGGAAATATAAAAGCTGATCTCTTTTAGGGGAGTAATGCCGGTGTTTTCATCCAATTAATTGGGCATGGTCTTTAATATTCCTTCCCCTAATCTTATTTGGGGGGAATTCTTTGTTTTTATTATCTAGCATTCCTTATCACTGAACATATCCATATCTTGCTCCAGAGAAAGGAGATCTGAGACTCCACAAGTAATGTGACTATGAAAACAGATTTAGTATCGGAAAAGATCTAAAATGAATCTAAGAGAGAGAAGGCACAAATTCAACAGCAAATTTTAATAAAAAATGAGCTAGTTTGGGCTCTGGTGATGGTTAAATCCATTTAAAGAAAATATTTTTATAAGTAAAGTACTTTGATATTATTCATATCAAAAATTAAAAGTATTTAATTAGCCAAAGCTGTGGCTCTTGGGATTTGTGGCAGACATGCTTTGCTGGATATTTGTTCTTTATTTTATGCCACTCTAACTGAGAAGGAAAATAGCTAATGACATATGAAGGTCAAGAACTAGAACATTTTGTATCCACATAGATATCAAGATTTTACAATTTCTAAGCTTAAACCATAACATTTAGTCTGTTTTTAAACTTAACTGGAAGCAAATACCTAGTAAGCATGAGCCATAAGTGTTCGTCTTCCAGATATGCACTTAGGAATTCATATGCAGTAAACGGGAATGCCGTTGATAATTTAGCCCTCTGTATACAGTGTCCTCTTGACCAGAAAAGAAAAAGCGGGGGGAGGATATGCTTTATGGACAGAGACTCACTTTGCTTTTTACCCTTCTCCCTGTAAATGTTAGTTGTCCGCTGTCCTGCCCTGAAGCCTCCTGAAAATGGTTACTTTATCCAGAACACTTGCAACAGCCACTTCAATGCAGCCTGTGGGGTCCGATGTCACCCCGGGTTCGACCTCGTGGGAAGCAGCATCTTCTTGTGTCTGCCTGATGGTTTGTGGTCCGGTTCTGAGAGCTCCTGCAGAGGTATGCAGGCTGCCAATTCACATTGTTTTTATTGATTGTCTTGCTCGACACCCTCAACTTAAACTCTAATGGACTACTAGATTCTTTGTTTCTTTTGATTTCATAGACCATAGACCACAGAAAGAGAAAAAATTATAGGAGGTTTGAAGTCAGAACTACTAAGTTCAGTTGACCACATCATCAAAAACTATGCCCTTTGTGTTTCTTTTATGAACAAGCAAAGGAAGGGCCTGCCTGGGAAAGAAATAGACAGGTTACCTTAAACCTCAGATTTCAAGCAGCCAAGACAGGGTCCAGGGAGAGTTTGGGGATGGTCAATGTGCAGCTTTGATGTCTCCTTTGATCGTAGGGCTCCAAGGACCACACCAGTATCCTGTGACAAGAGTAGTTAGCCAATGTATACATCCCCAGCCTTCACTTTGAATAGACAGCATGCCATAGAAAGTGGGAGTTTGCTAAAGTGACATCCCAAAGAGCCTCATCAGGCCAACAGAAAAGGGGGCAGTACCATAGATAGAACCTGAGGCTCCCACATCAGATACAGAGGAACAACAAGCAAAACTGAGAGTACCTTAATTCACTTCCACTCTTGCCGTCTCCAAGACCTACTTTCCTACTTCTTACGACCACTGCATGGCCAGCTTCCTAGGGTTTCACAAATTGGGTTGAAAGAGAAGGCTCTCTAAGAAGAGAGGGGAACAAGCCAAAGGACTTGAGAATCCCTGCCCATGAAGCTTCTGAATACAGTATTCCCCCCCTCACCTCGGGTTGCTAGATGAAATACAGGACACCCGTTTAGATTCAAATTTTAGATAAACAACAAATAACTTTTTAGTATAAGTAAGTCCCATACAAGATTGGAGACCTTCTTATACAAAGAATTATTTGTTGCTTTTCTGAAATTCAAATTTAACTGGATATCCTCATTTGTTTGTTTTTATGCTAAATCTGGCAACATTACCCCCAACACATCCCCTAGGCATCCTTTGGCAATACGGTTTGCTGAGGCTGTGACTGCTCCAAGACCCTGTATCACCCAGCTCACTGGAGTAGGGTAAGAAGTTCTGTCTTCTAGTCTTCTCTTGGCTCCCACACCCATAAGGGAAGCCAGCCTACTCACAACTTCAAGGTCATTTGTGAACCCCAGGAGACATTCACCGTTTGTATTAATCGGCTACCAATACTGAACTCAGCTATGAATATGAATTTGCTTAAATCAGGTCCCAGTCCAGACCCTTATCTCTACTTACAGAAAGAGAAGGAATCAGCAAATTGAACAAGGGAGACGTGAACGAAGAGGGGAGAAAAATGGAATCACTGAGATTCAAAGGCAATGACATTGGTAAAATAAGATTAGGATTCCAAGAAATGGGAGAAATCTGAGAGGAGAAAGGTATCTTAGGGAGAAGAAAAAGGTTGCTGGCACAATCAACAGACCTAGTCAAAAGCCACATTAATAAGTTAGAAAATCAACGCAAGAAATCCTTCTGAAAGTAGAGCAACGTGTGAACGATTAGAAAAAAGATGAGAGAATAAAGTGACACGAGAATAGTCACAGGAAATAGACTCTTCATAGATGAGGAATCCAGAGAGAGAGTGGAGTGGAGGAGAAATGCTAATAGCAGGTCAAAGAATATAACCGCAGGCTGAAGTCTTGAAAATACACATGAGTGAAATCTTTGATAGTCCACTTAAAATCACTTACTGGGTGCCAGAAAACAAATTATTGAAAACAGATCCATGTCTGGAAATAATCTTATTGAAACTTCTGAAAGCCCTGGAAAAATTAGAAAATTGGGCCTGTTTCACAGTTAGAAATAATATTACCTATAAAGGAAAGGGAATCAGACTTGCCTTGAGCCCACTATTAGCCATTCTAAATGTTAGAAGATAAGAGTATGTTTCCTGAATTCTGAAAGAAAAGAGTTAGACCCTAGATTTCTAAACTCCGACAAGCTATTGTTTATGTGGGAAAGCAAAGCAAAGACATTCTTAGTCATACAGTCTCAAAGGGTAAAAAGCCTATTACTGAAAAGGTTGATCATCGGAACCTCTTAGAAATATTCCTGTAAAGTTACATAGTTATTAAGTTCTTTGTAAAACCTCTACCCCTTCTTCCAAATACCTCATGGCAGAAGGTAGAAAACATGACATTTTAACTTTCCACTTACTGGCCTTCTAAAGAAGAGTGAGAAAATCAGGCAGACAACCCCTTTAGGATAAAGTCTGGCCCCTGCCTCTTTAACCCTCTACGGACTCCATCCTGAGCCTCGAATCCTACACTAAAGCCTTAAGAAATGGCCGTGCCCTCTCAGGAAGCCATCCGTTTGCAAGTTGTTTCAACAGCCTTGATTGTCCAGTCATTCCTTTGGTCCCTGTATATAAGCCCTCCCTGTCGCTGACCTTCTCATCTGGGACGGGATGACCCCTAACCTCTGTATGTGCATGCACAAACCTATCCTGCCTGCATTCTAGCCCTTGTGCTTTGTGTGTCAGGGTCAGTCAGGGAAGCCCAGGAAATATACCATCTGTGCTATGGGATAAGGACCTTATATTAAGAATCAGACCTTACACGATTTTAGAAGGAGCTGGGAAGTGGAAGGTCCAGAAGAGAAATTGGAGCATCAGAGGAGTTACTACCAGTTCAGTCTGAGAATCCAAGCCCACCCAGCTGCTGAAGTGGAACCACAGGGGAGAGGTGTGTTGGGAAGTCTAAGAGAAGCTTTATCTCTGTGTAACCATGCCCTGATGCTCTACATCCAAGAACCCAACAGCGAGCTTGGGGCCACCTTGGGTCAACAGGGTCAGCAATTGGGATGTGGAGTGGAGGTGACCGAAGACCAGCTGGAACCTAGTGTGCATGTCTGCATGCAGTGATCACTGCCTCTCTTCCGCCTTCCGAGATCAAGTGCGGGTTCTTCTTTTGATCAACCCTAAACTGGCCCACAATAAGGGGATTCTGACAGTGTTTCCCAGCTTAACCAACTTGTTACAATACAAACCACCTTACTTACTTTAATTAATTAACTTGTCGATCACCTCTGCTGGTCTGTGAGCTCATTATGAGCACAGAACGTATCTTCCCCCACCCCAGCTAATCCTTGGTTATACTTCTGGTAAATGATATGGATAAGTACACTGACAAATAGATACACTGACAGTCTGCTTGTGTCACTTCCCATTATTCAGTCCCATTTTTAAAAAGCAGGCTTGTTGTCTTTGATGCAATTTGCATTGATGTCCCCGTGTAAGTAAAATAACTTTAATCAAAATAAGAGCGATGCTCCAGGATGTGAACTTTTCTAAGCTCCCCTTAACTTCACCTCCAAAAAACGACTCCCTAACTTACCAGTGAACAAAGCTGTCCTGAATGAAAGTACTAAGTCAGGCTCTTCCTCTGGCTCCTCATTAAAGGATTTAGTTATAGACATACTTCGTTTCACTGAGCTTTGCTTTATTTTGCTTTGTTGATGTTGCAGTTTTTACAAATTGAAGGTTTGTACTGATAACAACCCCACGTTGTCAGATGATGGTTAGCATTTTTTAGCAATAAACTGTTTTTAAGTAATGGATGTATATTGGTTTTTAGAATAATGCTAATTTGCACACTTAATAGACTACAGTGTAGTGTAAACATAACTTTTATATGCACTGGGAAACCAAAAAAATCGTGGGACTTGCTTTACTGCAATAGTCACTGTATTTGGTGGTCTGGAACTGAGCCTGCAATATCTCGGAGGTCTGCCTGTACTTGAGGTATTGTTCTGTGAAACATATGCCATAATTCATTCATTCAAAAACACTTTTTCCCCACGTCTTAACATCCTAAAACTGAGATGTACCTCAACAACGGTGGCGTTAAATCCTTTCACAGACATTATTGTTTCTTTATTAGCAGCTTATAAAATAATGTTGTGCCTTACAATTGGGGCGTCTGGGATTCGGTGAAATATGGCAGTTATGTGGGAATTCACTTCTGTTTCAGGAGGGGTAGTATGGAGAAAGTAGCATTTTACAGATCTAATTTAAATCTAATTATAAAGACAGAGGATAAGTTTATTTTTTTCTTGAAAATCTTTCTAAAAGTGAGGCAGAAATGAAAGACCAGTGTAAAACATAAAACCTTTTACAAATTTCATGTTACATCCTAAATGTTTTGTAACTAATAGGCTTGATTCTTATTCCTCCTATACATTCTTCATTAAAACACTTACACTCTGAATTTTATCTGAATTACACATTCCTTTCTAAACTAGTAAGGATTCCTTTGTGGTTTCTCAATGATAACTAGCTAAACCACAACATGAAAGTAAAGTAAATTTTGTGATAGTATTTTTCCTGAGAAAAACGTTCAGGCAGCAGTGAGAACCCTACATTTAACATCAGATTTATTTTATTTTCAATATAGAAGCTGTCAAAATTGGGAGGGTGACAGGAAGTGTAAATCTGAGAAAAAAATCTAACGAGTCTTCCACTGAGAACCAGATCAAGTTCTCACATTGTCTGCTACCTAGTAGACCATTCTCTTCAAAGACTAAATTGCTGTTTTCTAAAAAGACTAAATAAATATTTAAGGATTGCTTTAACATGAATGTCAGTCAAACGTTTATTGCAGAATTTTTCAGCTTATTGAAATAAAAATATTTTTGAAGTTGAAACTCATAAATAAGCATGTTCCCATCAAAAATGATAAAAATGGTCATTCTTGGTTGAAAAGGAGTATAAAATGTTTAAGAACTAAATAGGAATTATTACATATGCTTTGTTTTCCCTGAGGAGCAGTGAAAGTTTATTAAAACCAACACTTGAGAAGCAACGTAATTTGCATATGTATGAAACACCAGCTCTAATTTACTATCAGTTCTCTTGAGAGATGTTGCAAGTTCATTTCGTCTCAAGTTGGAAAGCTGGAGTCATTTCAGCAGTTTATTGGATCAAAAGCAGTTGTTTAATATGGTTTTCTAGATTTTCTATATCTTGATCATAGTAATTTGTCTCATTCACTTTTAATCCTACCTGGCTCTTGGTATTGTGCTACGTCTGATGAGTGCCCTCAAGAAAAGTCAAAATATGGGAGGCAAAATATTTCTACACCCTTGATGGATACACTCAATACAGATTCTACTTACATGGTGGACACACTCAATAAAAATCAAAACGTGGAAGGCAAAATAATTCTACTCATTTGTCATTAATAGTTGACTTTGGTCCAAACCATCCCAGTGATCGAAAGGCGAGGGCTTATGGTTTAACTTCTAATCTAATTCTTGAGTTTTCTCTAAGGAGTAATCAATCCTAAATGAATATTTCATGCACCCAATATTTATGTTCTGCCAACTAATGTAATGCGAATGGGTTCCTTCAGAGTAGATTCTGTGAAACCGCGACTTCAGTTGAATATGCACTGAATATTTTACCCCAACTTCCTTTCCTATTATTTTAAAGTTAAGCTTTCATCATAAGTAACTGCATGCTTCATATGAAAAATTGGCAAATGCATAAAAGAAGGAAAAAGACATCTTACCCAGAGTCTCAACAAAGTTCTTGAGTCCCAAGTGATTTTGTTCAAAAATATTCAGAGATTCCTCTGTTGTCTTGTGGCCTTTAGTGTTGCAGGAGTGTTATCTGAGAGAAAAGTGAGATTTGTTCTTTGCAGGGGTTTTTGCTTTCTGTACAATGCCTGATGCTTATTGGATTATATCTGTAAGCTATTAAAGTGAGTATCCGCGCCCATCTGTTGGCATATTCAACAAGAATCCACTCTCTTGTGCTCTCCGTATCTCTGTTTATGACCAGGATGTACATGCCATCTGACAGAAAGGGTGCACGGCCGTGGGTCTCTGCAGCCCCTTCCCTGCACTCTCCCCATCCTCTTCCATGTCTCCCCCTCCCCTCCTCTTCCTCTCTGTCACCTGCCTTTCTCCTCCCCTTCTCTTCCCTTTTTTCTCCCCTCTCCTTTTTCTCCCCCTTTCTTTCCTCCTTTACTGTCCTTCCTCCTTGTCCTGATTTGAAATCCTGATTGGAGTGGGTCTAAGCTAGAACTGGAGAAAAAGAAGTGTAGAAAGAGTATAAACTCTTTAGAGATAATTTTACCTAAAGAAGATCACATAATAGATTGGAGGCCCCAGTAGGGTATAGAATTTGATGGAGTTGAAGCTCTTGAGGGAATAATCTAGGAAGATAGGAGGTCGTTGTCAGAGGAGGGGGCGTGGATTGGTGCTGGCGAGGTCTAGAGGATAAGGCAGTGGAGGGGAGGCTGAAATAAGGCGAAGGATGTGGTTATTGGCGAAGAAGAGATGAGGAATATGACTCTAGGGTATTGGGATGATCATCTACATAGATCATGAAATCACCAGCGCGCGCGTGTGTGTGTGTGTGTGCGCGCGCGCGCGCGCACGCGTGCCAGAGAGAGAAGGAGAGAGAGAGAGAGAGAAATATAAAATCATTAAAGAATGAGAAGTGGCCAAAAGGTCAACAGGCAACTGGGGAGTGGGGCGGGGGGAAGGGACGTTTTTCCTCCCTCCAGGGAGCTGGAGGTGTTTAGGAAGAAGAAAGAGAATGATCTGGGAAGGGAATAAAGAGCAGGTCCTGTCTCTAAGAGACAATAAGATTTTTTACTAGGATGAGAAAGTAAGGAAAAGTTCATAAGAGGAGTTTAGGATAGGACGGGATTTATTGAGGACTGATGATGTATGCCAGAGGGCAGGTGCATGAGTTTGTGAGTTAAGAGTTGGATCAGAGCTGTGTGGGGATGACCCTGGTAGATGAAGCAATCGTCCTGAACAAGAATATAGGGCCTGCTGGAATTGACTGAGATGTACTCTAAGGCACTCTATGGGATTTGGGTGGGCTCGGCGGTGGTAGACTCTTGCCGGAACTCAGAGCACAGATGTCATTTGGGAACCTGCAGGAGCAGTCCGAGTACCTTCCTGTAGCTTCTCTGATGCAGCGTTGAGGCAGGAGTGGCAGCGCTGGGGTTTGCACAGTTCTCTGGACAACCCATGGCACTTCTGCTGCTGATGGTGCTGAGGCTGGCTGAGGCACAGGGCCCTTTCCAGCCTCCAGAGCTTAGTAACTACTCTTCTAGCTCCTTTTTCATGGTGGTTTCAGAGTCAACAGAGAAAGGACGTATATCACCAGTTGTAACCTGGTCACTTCTCAGACCAGGGGAACATGATCCGGGCTCACAGGCTCTACCCCTGAGCAAGGTTGGAACACACACAAATCCCATGAGCTGAAAGAGGCGAAAGAGCTTCCCTTGGAAAATTAACAAAGGGAAAATGAATGGATGCTGGGCAGAGGGAATTAGGGTTTGCATATACCTACTGGTATCAGTGACCCAAATAACTAGGTCATAAGACAATTAAGGGTTTGTTTTTCTCTCACCTGAAAGGATAGAAGTAGGTAATCCAAAGCTGCTGTGATAGCTCATTGTCATCAGAGACCCAGGCTTCTTTTATTTTTTTGCTCTACCATCTTAGTGCATGAGACTTACCCTGTAATATGCTGGGGCCCTGTCCTTCATGTCTGTATTTCAGGACAAAGAAGGAGGAAGAGGGGAAGGCAGAAAAGGTACTCTCTCAACTGAGACAGTCCCCACTCAAAGGCTTTTCCAGAAGCCCCATACAACCCTGGCTCTCATTTGTTGCGGTGGAGGTGGAGAATTGTTATCTTCTAGCTGTGCCTGTTACTATGCTGAATAAAACTGGGAGGAGTGGTTATTGGGTGGGCAACTAGCAGTCTCTGCCGCAGCAGCAAAAACAAACAAAACAATGGTAATGCATAAATCAATATGCATTGATTTGCATTGATTTGATATGCATTGATATAAATCAATCATGAGCTAGGATTTGCCGGAAGCGTCTGGGAAGAAAGGGGTGAAAAAGCTAAAAGGACCAGAATTGTGGCTAGAGTAGAATGCTGGAGTTCAAGATTGCAGAGGCTGAGCAGCTGTCAAGAGTCTGGGATCATTAAAAATCCCAGAATATGCCCATGAGGTCTGAAAACTGAAGTGAACCTGATCTCTGTCCTGGAAAAGACCCCTTCCTTTTGTTAGAACGTAGCCTGGAGAATCACAGCAAAGGCCCAGCTGAGGGCTGCAGGGACCTCCCTTTGTAAACCATCCCCTGTCTCCAGCCATCATTGTCCATTTAGGGCCAGACTCCCTAAACAGCTTAAGTTTCCCACCTGTAGACAGAGGTGGAACACAGTGATGTTGTTTAGGCCATGCATTTGATAAAACGTAGGCTTTCAATTATCCCATACTAACTCAAAATATAATGGTGTGTTATTTACTGTTTGTGATGTGTAGGCCTTATTAAATTTGTAATTATTATCTTTGTTCTCATTGGGTAGAATATGATCTAATTGTTTTCATTTCACATAGTGAGAACATGCCCTCGTCTCCGCCAACCCAGACATGGCCGCCTCAGCTGTTCTACCGGGGAACTGTCCTATAGGACAGTGTGTTTGGCCACCTGTGATGAAGGGTACAGACTAGAAGGAAGTGCTAGGCTTACCTGCCAAGTAAACGCCCAGTGGGATGGTCTAGAACCCCGGTGTGTGGGTAAGTTCTTAGAAGGCATGGTGCCTTGGGTGGGTCATTTCTCTTGCTCTCTGGTTTCTCCTGTTTTCTGTGAAGACCTAGAACTAAAAACCGACTCATTATGGGTATAAATACACATCCATATGTATAGGTATATGGCGCTGTAGATACATGAACAAATATGTAGTTTTATTCCCCTCCACTGGTAAAAAGACTTCTCACCACAATCCAGTTCTCTGAATCCCTAAAGTTTACAGCTTCAAATGGTAATGATTTTTGTTTTAATTGGGGCAAATTTGGATGGATCTTTTAACAGCAAATGCTGTGTAATTCCCTCAGTTTTTAAAACACAATTTACCTTTACCTTGTTGATGAAAGGACAAAATTATGAACCAGTGAATGTTAAGATGGGCCGTAAAATTCCCTTTCATCAGAAGATTTTCTGCCTTGTCCTTCACTAAGAGTTGTGGCATCTCATACCTGAAATTGGGTCCAGAATGAATAAACTCAGTAGCTCTTCCAGTTTGCTGCGTCTTATACACTGTTGAAACATTAACGATGGCAATAATGATGATGATGAAATGATAATAACTACCATTAGTGAACCCTTACTGTGTGTCAGATACAGTATACCTGGGAGTGCTAACAGGTATGTCATTAAATAACCAACTTCCAGAATAGGAAGAAGAACTATATGTAGGGAATAAATTGAGGTATTCCAGGATCCTAGATGGGAAAACTAGGTACTATAACATCCAGGGCTGATAATAAGGGAGGGTGTCACCAGAAAGGGTATTGGGCTTTACTGAGGGGTTCAATAACAGTCCTAGAGTTGACCCTCATGGTGCAGGCTCAGAAAACTTATAGGGGGGTATTATATTTTTAAATAATAATTTAATAATAAAAATAACAAGTAAAGTTTATTAACAGTGAGATACTTGTCATGACTACTGAAAGACATAGGCCTGACAGGCATTATATTTCCCTGGAGGCAGAAGCTACAAGGATTCCCAGACTACAAACAGACTTAGTTGGCATAAAACCAAAACAAAGGGAGTTAGCTTCTCCAGATAGTTCACAGAATTAAATGAAGATGATGGATCTATCCACCATAAAAAGGCTGCTTTGGCAATGGAACATTAAATCTCAATAAATCCCTTTAGTTGGAACGTTGTCTCCCAAGATTAGAATTTGTATCTAGATATTAATGTTTACTCCTGAGAATCATCTGTCTCACTGGCTCCATGGATGAGCAGCTTTTCTTGTGAGGGACCCAGTCTTTTATTAAAAATGTAATACATTTAATAAGGTTACTCTGGAGTTATTCTTTAAAGAATTTAAATTTAATTATTAAGTTTAACTTAAAATTTTAAAATCCTTTAAACTTTAAGAATTCTCTTTAAAATTATTGCGTACATCTCTGTAATGATTTAAAGTGTATGTCAATCTTGGTAGATTTGAAGTATAACCATCAAAAGGAAATTATATCCCTATTTACAATTTATAGGGCAAAAACTCACCGTAGCCCCCAAATTCTGACAATAACGATAATTACTATGAAATTTTCCACTTAAAAAATTGATAGACATGAATAGAAAGCGTATTGAAGAATAGATAGTTGCAAAACAGGAAAATTTTGAACATGAGGTACAATGAGGGAGAACTTATTCTCACCATCATAAGACAGATTATGAACCCACAGTGATGAAAATGGTACATTAATGGTACAAGGATGCACAGAACAATGGAAGCAAACATGGCTCAGAAACAGACATTATTTTTTGTAGAAGAATATAATATTCAATAAGGAAAATTTTAGATATCAATGGGGGAAAGAAGCTTATCTAAAAATTAGTCAGTTTTGACTCACCTCATTTTTAAAAATCCCTAAGTTAATTTACCTAATTAATTAAATGAGGCAAATTAAGGAGTGAAATGTAAGAAATAAGATGGAGAAAATATGGATTTTAATGGAGAAGAACTTCATGAAAATAAAAAGGGCAATAGATTTAAATACATAAAGATGTAAATTTCTGTACTTCAAATGAATTCTCTGCATTATTAAAATGCAAACAAGAAAAAGTTATTTGAAACACATTAAAAAAAAGTCAATGTCCTTAACATTTTCTGGCATGAAACTAGACCAAAAGGCAAAAATGTGAAGACTCCAATACACAAAGAGATAAAGGAAATGAATTAAACGAACAAAGGAGACGTTTTAAAAATACAATTAAAAAATAAACAATGAAATTGAGAAAGTTCTAGAACCAAAGTTATGAGATATGGGTTAAATTATACACTGATAAAATTTCTTAGATATAAATATTTGCATTATTAAACAGGAAGAATGAAAATAACATTAAATTCAAAAGCTAGGAAAATAATGATTGCAAGAGAAGTTGAAAGAAGTACATAATAATAATAAGGGAAGATGAATTATAAAAGGAGATGGAATGCAGTAGAGTGGATAAGAGGAAAATCTTTGAATAAAGTAATAAAATAAATTTTTAAAAGAAGAAAGAAAAATGCAAAACTAGAATTTTTCCAGGAAGCTATCACAAAGGAATATATGAGGTCTGAAGTTTTTACTTTTTTAAATATATTTATTATTTTTGGCTGCACTGGGTCTTCGTTGGTGTGCATGGCCTTTCTCTAGTTGTGGCGAGCGGGGGCTACTCTATTTTTTTAAATTTTTTTTAAAATTTTTAACATCTTTATTGGAGTATAATTGCTTTACAATGGTGTGTTAGTTTCTGCTTTATAACAAAGTGAATCAGTTATACATATGTTCCCATATCTCTTCCCTCTTGCATCTCCCTCCCTCCCACCCTCCCTATCCCACCCCTCTAGGTGGTCACAGAGCCCCGAGCTGATCTCCCTGTGCTATGTGGCTGCTTCCCACTAGCTATCTATTTTACATTTGGTAGTGTATATATGTCCATGCCACTCTCTCACTTTGTCACAGCTTAGGGGGCTACTCTTCATTGCGGTGCACGGGCTTCTCATTGCTGTGGCTTCTCTTGTTGCGGAGCACAGGCTCTAGGCGCGCGGGTTTCAGTAGCTGTGGCACGTGGGCTCAGTAGTTGTGGCTCACAGGCTCTAGAGCGCAGGCTCAGTAATTGTGGCGCACGGGCTTAGCTGCTCCACAGCAGGTGGGGTCTTCCTGGACCAGGGATCGAACCCGCGTCCCCTGCATTGGCAGGCGGATTCTTAACCACTGCGCCACCAGGGAAGTCCCAGAGGTCTGAGGTTTTTAAAAGAATAATAAAATACCATACAATACATTTATTATGCATGATTTTCTAAGAAAATGAAAATTATTAAATGAATCAAGAAAAAAAGGAGAAAAGCAAGTATATAGTTACCTATGGGTAATTTACAAAAAAATGGAAATGTTATCAGAGTTTAATTTCTCCTCCCAAAATGACCGAGGGATCAGTGAAACTCTTTCAAACTTTTAAAAAGCAGTAATTCTCATACCATGTAATTTGGCCCAGTTAGTGGAAAGTTAATCAGTTCATACTATCAAAGTATTATTATTCTATTGCCAACCTGACAACTTTTACTAAGAAAAAAATAAAAAAAGAAAACGACGACAGCAAATATACTAGCAATCCACATTCAAAAGAATGGTCTGCCAAAACGAGTAGAGGTTTATCCTAGGAATGTAAGGAGGGTTTAAAATTAGGTACTCTATCAACATAATAAATTACTTCATTATAAAAAATAGGAAAAATTCATACCGTTGCTCAGTATAAGATAAAAATGTATTATTGTCATTTAAAACACATTTTTAATAGAACTCTAAGAAACTCATATTGATTACTGACAAAATAAAAAAGTCCATCTTAAATCTGCATCCACTTATGGAAACAATGTAGACAGTCTTATTAAATCTGGAAAAAGAGAAGGATTCCAGAATCATCCGTATTATTTAGCATTGTTCTCTAAGCTTTAGCTCTTGTAATAAATCATAAGGTTAGAGCCTAGAGGATTCAGAATCATCATTTGTAAACTACGTGTCTACCTCCAAAAAAGAGTGAACCTACTAAAAGACTGAGAGTTCATTAAAGTCATAAGAATATCAAATAAACAACTCTTCTATATAAATGATAGAATATATAGAGAAAAATCACATTCAAAAGATCTATAGAAAATATAAAATATGTAAGAATAACCTTAAACAGAAATGTGTGGGGCCTGTGTTACACTAACTACAAAATATTACTGAAAGACAAAAAGAACACCTTAATGTTTTTATAAAATTCTATCAAAATGTAAGTTCTCTCCAAATATATGTATACGTAAAATGCAATAGCATCCAATAGCCCAAAAGGGTTTTTCTTTTTTGCCCCCTTTTTGGAATTGGGGATTGACTCCAGGATTCATCTGGAAGAATGTGTAGGCAAAACTCACTGAAATAAGATTGAAAGGGAAGAGTAATAAAGAGTAGTAAAAAGAAAGTAGCTCTACTGGGTTTTAAAATATATACTAAAACTGCAAAAATGAAGAGTATGCAAGAATTGCCATCAGATCAATGGGGCTGAATAGATTCCAAAACTTACGAGTTTCACGTATCATTAGGGAAGCATCATAGCTCAGTTGAGAAGATAAGATTTATTCAACTGATAATATAGGAAAATTGGCTAGCTCCTTGGGAAAAACAAAATGAAATTTTCATATGTCTTTAATACACACCAGACACATAAATTCTTCATAGTTTTAAAAATATAAATTAAAAATAAAACCATTAAAAGCTAGAAGAGAGTAGAGTCAATATATGTAAGTAAATATTAACCCATCTTAGAATGTATTAGGCATAAAAGCAATGGGAAAAGATTTTCCATTGGATTAGAAAGGATTAGATTAGACTATATAAAAACTAAAGACATTCATTCAGAAGGTCATAAACGGTAAGAAAGAGAATATTAACGGAATAAAATCTTCAACAATTATGACAGCTAAAAGAATAATTTTCTTAATTTATAAATAAACATACCTGAATAAATGATTTAGAGTCCCATATAGTTGTTATATTTGAACCACAAATTTGGCTCTGATTTTCCTCTTGGTCAAAGCAAAATAGGAAGTCTGGGCAACCACGTGGTACATACTGTGCAAAAACAAAGAAACATACCAATTTCTCAGGAAAATTTGCTTTTGCTGACCGAGAGGTTTGAAAGCAGTCATTTCAGGGAGGAGGCATGGTTGTGGAATATTTTAGGAGCACACAGGTTCTGCTACTTACCAATCGGGTAACCTCAGGAAAGTTAACTATGAGAGTTACTATTATGTTCCAGCACTCTTGTTTGTAAGTGGGAATAATAACAGCCCTTACTGCATATGTTTAAGTGAGTCTATCCTTGTAAAGCACTTAGAATAATGCCTGGCATATCACATGGGAAACACAGACTAAAGACGCCAGCAGTGCTCCCAGTAGAATCACTACTACAACAACAAACAAATGTGTATATGGGGTCGTGTGTGTGTGTGTGTGTGTGACACACACACCCTGCATTAAGTCCTAGTCTGATTTTCCATTCTATCTCCAGTCTACCTAATTCTACCTAATTCATCTGCTGTTCTTCATCTGTGCTGAAAATAACGTCATTAAGAGTCAAGGCCCTAATTATGACATAGTGATTCTAGGGAGAGTATAAAAACTATTCTCATTATGTGCTTGCTTAAAGATGGCACAAAAAAATTCATAAAATGGAGACTGCTGAATTATCACTTATTCCATGAAAGATAGAATCTAATTCACTATTTTATACTTTGTAGCCATAACGTAATATTCTGCAAACTGAATGAAGGTGCTCTAAGCAAATGGTAGAAGTCACAGTCGGCATTGATTTAAGTACTAGCTAGAAATCTTTCAAGATTTTGATGAACCGGCAAAATAGCATGAGGTAACTAAAGAGATATGGTTGAGCATTATTTACAATACAGCATTTGTTCAGTGTCACATACAGACCTCATTTAGTGACTTATGTCAGTCCCACAGCAGACCAATTGTATTTTTCTCGAGTAAAGAGAATCTGTGACGTTTGCAATTTGTGGGAACGCAAATAACATTTTCTTGCTCTCCTACAATAGAGCGCCACTGCTCCACCTTTCAGAAGCCCAAAGGTGTCATCGTGTCACCCCCCAACTGTGGCAAGCATCCAGCCAAACCTGGGACGATTTGTCAGCTAAGTTGCCACCAAGGATTCATTTTATCAGGAGGCAGAGAAGAAGTGAGGTGTACCACCTCCGGAAAATGGAGTGCCAAAGTTCAGACAGCTGCTTGTGAAGGTAGGTCCATACAATGGTCAAGTTAAAAACCAAATTCTATATAATGACACATTGGTACAGTGTGGGACTGTCCCTCTTTGCAACTTCTGCTGCAAATCTATGGTAAAAGGATAGATGTAACCCCAGAAAATGCTATGAAGATGTCTGTTACAAAATCATGGACTCACAAAATCCAATTACAATGTACCAGGCAACAATAGAAGAAATAGAAAACCAAGGATGACATTAGAGCTGGAAATCAGGTTAAGTTTTCCATTGGGAGTTGAAGATCTTTGGGGAATTTCTGGCTCCTATATATATATAAAGCAGGTGAGATTAAGTTAATTCTTTTTTAAAAAAGCAAGTCATCAGCCCTTTGAAACCTGCATCTCAGTACATTCGCAAGAGAACATTGCCATCTTCCTAGCAACAAGAGCCGACTGCTATGAAAAGGAGCTACTGAGAGCAAGAAAGAGTTCTTAGAAGTACAAATATAAATATCTCTAAGAGAAGGGTCAAAAAGTGGAGTGGATGTTGTTGAAAACAATATTAGTGATTTGACAAAGGAAACTGAGAATTCCTTCAGAATGGAGAACTGATAAACAAGGAACTTGAATATCCCAATGGATCAAGCCCAAAAGATGGAAGTTAAGAGATACTTGTGATAAATCCAGAAACCCCAATAAAGAGTTCCAGAAGCAGAGAGAGGTTAAGGGATGGAGGAAAAGAATTTCCTACCAGTAGAAGAAAGTTCCCCTGAGCTTCAGAAAGGCTTGAATTTTTTGATCAAAATAGCCTCAGACCTTGTTTATCTATTTTATATAAAGTAGTATATATCTGTTAACCCCAAGCTCTTAATTTGTCCCTTCTCCCCAACAACAAGGTCCTACCGAGTAACTCAGGGAACTATATTCAATATCTTGTAATAACCTATAATGGAAAAGAATCTGAAAATATATGTAAACATATATATGTGTATATATATGTATGTATGTATAACTGAATCACTGCTGTACACCTGAAACTAACACAACATTGTAGATCAACTAGACTTCAATAAAAAGTAAAGTACCATTACCAGAGAAATAGAGTTTATTGATCCATGTTCAAGAAAACAGTGAGTAATGTGACTCCAAATAAAAAATAGGGGCTTCTCTGGTGGCTCAGGTGTTGGGAGTCCGCCTGCCAACGCAGGGGACACGGGTTCAAGCCCTGGCTCAGGAGGATCCCACATGCCGCTGAGCAGCTAGGCCAGTGCGCCACAACTCCTGAGCCTGTGCTCTGGAGCCCGCGTACTGCAATACTGAAGCCTGCGTGCCTAGAGCCTGTGCTCCGCAACAGGAGAGGCCACCGCAACGAAGAGTAGCCCCCGCTTGCCACAACTAGAGAAAGCCCACGCTCAGCAACAAAGAGCCAACTCAGTCAAAACTAAATTAATTAATTAAAAAAAAAAAAAATAGCCTCTGAATGTTGGGCAGGCATACTTTCACTACTCCCGGTGAAATTTCCAAGGTCCAAAGTTAAGGAGAAAATCTGAAGTTTCCAGAGAGAAAAGAGAAATTTCACAAAGGAAATAAGGATCAGACTCACACTACACTTCTCATTTATAACTCTAAATGCCAGAAGGAAATGTAGCAGTGTTCTAAGAATACAGAGGGAAAATAGATATAAACTTTAAATTCCAAATCCATTCAAGCTAGTATTCAAGTGTAAAGGAAAAATAAAATACTGCTTTAGATTTTAAGAGTTATTATGCTAATGCATCTTTGTGGGGGGAAACTGTCTAAGTATTAGCCCCCTGAGAAAAGGAAAATATAAATTGAATAAAATTTTAAAGGAAAAAGAAGGTGAGACACAAATTAGATCAATTCGGATATATTCAGCTGCAAGTTACAGAAGACCTAATTTAATGTAACTTAAGAGGATTTATTATACCATGTAATAAGAACTTAGCTCTACAGTGACTGATGTGGCTATGTGGAATGTTACCACATCTAATTCAGTATCTGTACTGCAAAGTTTCACACTGCAAAAAATATCATTGGCTTTAATTTGTTGTTTGTTTTGCCAGTACATTTTAGCACACTAATTAATTCCATTTGACAGCATTTCCAGTGCAGTTCCTTCCTGCCACAGTCAACATTCATTTTTTCTGTCTCTTTATTTCATTCCAAAAATATTTATCAAACTCCTGTTATATGCCAGCAACTATTTAATACAGTGGGACAAGAGATATCCTGGCATTCAAAGAACTTAAATTCTCTGGGAGGAGAAAATTTAATTTCAAAATGGCAAAACGAGTTATGGTTAGGAAGGACAGAGGGCCATGGGAACTTGTGGAGTGAGCACCTAAAATGGACCAGTGGGGTCAGAGAAGCTTCCTGAGGAGCTTGTGTCTAAGCTGAGAATTAAAGGACAAGTAGGGGTTTCCTGGGTAAAGGGGGAAGAGAGCATTGATTCAGGCAAATAAAAGGACATGGGCAAAGACCCAGGTATAGGAAGAACCATGGTGCTCTCGTGGGACTGAGAGTATTCGGTGTGGAGACTGAGTTCTGGTAGGGGATTTGTCCCCTCTTAGGGGAGCAGGCACCAGTTCAGGAAGGGCTCCATAAGTCATCCTGAGATACATTATCCTGAAGGCAGTTGTAAATTCCAAATCAGTCAGGAATTGGGATGTAAAAAGCGAGTCACAGAGTATTAATATCTTTTCACCTCTCTCTTAAACGACTTAGAATTACACATTGATATGTTAAGTGATTTGTGTATTTTCTGAATCAGATGTGGAAGCTCCTCAGATCAACTGTCCTGCGGACATAGAGGCTGAGACTCAGGAACAGCAAGACTCTGCTAATATCACTTGGCAAATCCCAACAGCTAAAGACAACTCTGGGGAAGAGGTAAGGTTTGAGCAAATATTTGCATCCTTTGTCACATGGATTCTAAATACACTGCAAATATGTGTGCTATTGAAAACTTACTAATTAATGATAGTGCCCAGGTCTAGCTGTACTCATAAGTGTTAATGCCCCATCTGATAGAGGAATGGTCAGCCTTGAATGTTTCATTAGAACTTTCAGATGAAAATCTCAAAACGGAAACCCTTCACTCTGCGGATTTGTTGGCTGAGAATTCTTTGCCCCTTCCTAGGCTCTGAAGATCTTTTAAGAAAAAGAAAGATGGGGAATCAATCTTAGTTTCTATTTTTAAGCATATGTTTAAAAATATGATCCTGAAATGATTGCATATTGGCCAGTCTGAAGAAGATAACATCAGTGTTTCTTACTCAGCTTTTTAAAAACCAGCATTATTCAGAACACAGTATTTTAGTATTGTATATACAGTAGCTTGAGTTAATTATCCATCAGATGCTAGGAAAGGAATTAGGAATTTAACACCCTCTTAAATCTATACTTTTACTCTTCACATACATGAAGATGCCCTTAAATAGTATATAGTTTTTACACCTGCGTGTAAATATGTATGTAAGTTGTGTCATTCAAGGACATGTGCCATTCAAGGACACACACACAATATGTTCTGATAATTGTGTTGAATAAACACAATATACTTTAAAAAAATCAAGATAACTTTTTTAAAGTGTATTATTAAATATAGTCATCACTCTGTATATTACATCTCCAGGACTTACTTATTTTATAAGTGGAAGTTTGTACCTTTTGTCCGCCACCCGTTTTGAGCACCCCCATACCCCGCTTCTGGCAACCACCAAACTGTTCTCCATATCTGTGATCTTTTTTTTTTTTCCTGCCACTTATTAGCGAGATCATATGGTATTTATCTTTAGGTAACCAAAGACAAGGTAACTTTTACATCTGATTTTAAAAGTGTAAATGTAAATTATAGTACTTACTATACTGTAGGTGATGTGTGAGTTGAGTGCTCCCTCGTGTTTAGTTTCCACATTCTATTAAGAGGCCCATGAAACCATGCATTGTCATCATTATCATCATCATCCTGGTCATTGTCATCAAATAGTAAGAAGAGTGCAGGGACATACTTCAGGATCCATGAGAATTTAGACTAAATGTAGCACCTGTGTGTTGAAATATGTTTTCAAAATACAGTGGAAAAACCAATGGATTTGACCTCAAAAGTATTTCTCAATTTTTTAAAATAAATTTATTTTTTTAATTATTTATTTTTGGCTGCGTTGGGTCTTCCTTGCTGTGCGTGGGCTTTCTCTAGTTGCGGCAAGCGGCGGCTACTCTCCGTTGCGGGCGGGCTTCTCCTTATGGTGGCTCCTCTTGTTGCGGAGCATGGGCTCTAGGTGCACGGGCTTCAGTAGTTGTGGTGCCTGGGCTCAGTCATTGTGGCTCGTGGGCTCTAGAGCGCAGGCTCAGTAGTTGTGGCACACGGGCTTAGTTGCTCCACAGCATGTGGGATCTTCCCACACCAGGGATTGAACCCATGTCCCCTGCATTGGCAGGTGGATTCTTAACTACTGCACCACCAGGGAAGTGCCTCAATTTGTATTTTTAATAGTTCTCTAGCAAACTAGAGAAAAATGCTTCAAATATGTCAAATGTTAGAATGTTTATTATATTAATATAAATTTATCTTTATCACATTATAATTTTCAAACAGACTAAGAAGGCAAACATATGGTTCAAAAAGGGAAGAATATATCTATATCATGCAATCATATGAGAATTTAATCTTACCATAAGACATTAAGAAACTGCAAATTAAAACAATGACCTCATGCCATATTTTTGATTTACCAAAAGGTAATGATATTTAATATAGATCAGAGAACTTTGAATGGGAACTTTGACAATGATACTATCAAATACTAACAATGGGAATGCAAATTTTTACCATGATCTGGGAAATAAATTTTGTATTATCTATCAATAAAATGCTAATGACTTTGAGGTTAATAATTCTGTTTCTGGAAATTTATTATAAGGACATAATAAAAATATTTTAAAATTATCTGTACAAAACTGTTATCGTAGTGCTGCTTACAACATTAAAATTTGGGACCAATTTAAATGTGCTTGAATAGATTTTTCTTTTAAAAAATTGCCATGTATTTATTATATAGGTTATAAAGATATTTAAGAGTCATAAGTTCTAAAAACTATGTAAGAGCGTAAAAAATGTTTTAAGATATTAGGTTTAATAAAAAAGGAACAACATTTCGGGGGCTTCCCTGGTGGCACAGTGGTTGAGAGTCCGCCTGCCGATGCAGGGGACGCGGGGTCGTGCCCCGGTCCGGGAAGATCCCACATGCCGCGGAGCGGCTGGGCCCGTGAGCCATAAAAAAAAAAAAAAAAAAAAAAAAAGGAACAACATTTCATATGTATCCTCTCTATAAACTATATAGATAAATAGTCTAGAAAGAAATATACCAAAGGCTATGTCTGATTTTTTTTTCCTTTTTGCTATACATAAAATATTGTGTCTTTTTGACTTCACTTTGCTAATAATATATAAACCAAAAAATAATAAAAGTACTATTAATATTAACTTTAACTTTCCAAATATTTCTCTCCAATAGGTGTCAATCCACGTTCATCCAGCTTTTACCCCACCTTATCTTTTCCCAATTGGAGATGTTGCTGTCACGTACACAGCAACTGACCTATCCAGCAACCAAGCCAGCTGCACTTTCCATATCAAGGTTATTGGTAAGTCTTCAAGTTACTTGGGTAGGTTTGTGAAAATAATCCAGGGCCCCCAAAGACTTCTCCTTTATCTTCAAAACCCCTTTCTCACTGATTCTTCCTTCTGTCATTGAAGCCACTTCCTCTTTGAAACCTACGTACCCTTTAATTATCACTCTGTCTCTTTGACCCCTTCCCATATGAGCCTTTTGAAAAGTTCCCAACGGTTGCCATCTCTTCTGGCTTAACTGCCATTTATTCTCAAAGTCACTCAAGTCTGGCTTCTGTCTCCTTCACTCATAGAAACTACTTTCATCAAGGTCACGGTGATCTCTAGAGCTAATCCTACTGCACACTGTTTAGTCCTTATTTGACATGTTTCCGTAGATTTTACATTGTTAACGATGCTCTCTTTATCAAAACTGCCTCCTTCCATAGCTTCTGGGACACCAGTCTTTCTGGGTTTTTTCCCCCATTCTTCTCATTTTTCCTCCTTGATTTGCTTTTTCAGGCTTCTCTTCCTCAGACCAACTCTCAAATATGGATCATCCCCAGGATTCCGGCCTTGGCCTTCTTCGCTTTCTTTCTCTCTAGTTTTCCTGGTAATTTTGTTAACTGACAGCTCCCAGATTTCTATCTCCAGCTCAGATTTCTCTTCTGAAATTCAGAGCCGTATATAATACCGCCTACTGACTTCCCCACGTGGATGCCCCCCAGGCACTTCAGACTCACCCAAACCTAAAACATTTCTTAGCTCAGAAAAATGGAGTGAAGACCCAGCTACCATGCAGAAATCTGGAAGTCATTCTTGATTCCTCTCCCTCCATCACCAACATCTAATGCCCCATCAGGTTCTACTGGTTTCATCTCCTTAATATCTCTGAAATCTGTCCCAGTCTCTCCATCCTCACATCCCACTGCTATACATCACTCCTCCCTTTTAGTTTTACTTTATTGTTTTGGTTTGGTTTACTCCATCATCTCCCAATTGGTGTTTGTGCTTTCAGTCAGTTCAGTAGATACCAGATACCCACCAGCAAGATTTAATACGTGGAGAATATATGAAGTGGTCTGTAGCACTCAAGAGCACAGACTCTGAACCCAAACTGCTTGACTCCATAGCCAGCTCTCCCACTTAAGGCAGTGTAACCAGTCACCTCTCTGTGCCTCAGTTTCTTCATCCAGAAATAGAATTAATAAATATATTACCTTATAGGGTTATTGTGAGATTTTTGATTAGTTAAGATATACAAACTGCTCAAGGTAGTACGTGACACATTAAGCTCTGTGTAAAAATACTAACATTTTTGTATTTTGGTCTCAGATATATTTTTAATGTTTATTTTAAAATCCAGTACATTAAATTCATTTTATTTTAAGACTTTTACATACCCTCTTGAAATAACTGATGTGTATCAAACTGGCTTCTTACCCTAGAAGTGATAGGTTTTGGTGAAAGTAGATAAAAAGACTCATATAAAAGTCAGTCTAGTTCATGTCATAGTGCTTAGTTGTTTTTAATTGCTTTTTCAGGGTTGTTTTAAGCATGAACTTTATCAGTCACATGAAAAATATGTTGGGTTTGTTTTTATGGCGCTGTGATTTTAAACATGAAAATGTGATTCAAGAGTTTGCCAAGTTTTCGTTTTTCACAATGAAGAGTCAGCATGATGAAATGTGAAAAGTGTACTCGAGTGTCTAGCTAGACACTAGCTGAATTTTCAAATTATGAAAGAGAGAGGAAATGGGAGGGAGGAGGGGACAGGAGAAGGAGGGGGAAAGAGAGAGTGGGAGAGAAAGGGAGGGGGAGAGAGACACACAGAAAGTATTCCAAAGCCTACATTTTCTTGTTTTCCTCAGATGACGGGCTGTGGCGGGGAGGGGGGGACGGTGTTGGTGTCTTAATGATAAATGAGAGGAAATAGGAACGCTTTTGCTTAACATTCCACAGAGTGCTGCCTCACTTGCTTTGAATGGACTTTCTCTCCCTCGTGGAGACAATGCATCTGGCTGCTACCTCCAATCCTTTGACAGTCATTGGCCTCGTCTTACTGCTCTCCTGTCCCTGAACTTCGACTTTAAACTGTTTGGCTAAAATCAGATAAATTTAGAAAGTCTTGGAACTATTTCATCTGCAATTTCTTTTGGGAAAATAGGAAAGAAATACTGTCGGATTTGTGAATTTAACTATGAATTGGCTTGATTCAGCATTCTCAAAGTGCGCTGACCTCCTAGGAGCATTCCTTCATTCTTTTCTTTATTCAGCAACCTCTTCTGAGCATCTGTTATGGGCCAGGTGCCCTGCTAGGCCATGGAGACCTAACTGTGAGCAAAGGAGGCTCCGCTGCTGGTTGACAGAGTTTACAGCCTAGGAAAGTAGTAAACCAAAGATCCTGTACTAAGGAAATGACAAACATGAGGAAAAGAGAAAAACTGAACATTTATTCATAAGACTTAGCTTAAAACAAAAATCTATATATTCTCCAGAGGTAGAGCTCGTTTAATTTCAGAATTAATTAAACATACGGAATATGTTTCCGTATGTCATTGATAGTATATCATCCTAGTCTTGAGGCCTATGACTATAATTTACCAGCTTAATGACCTAAGGCAAGTCTCTTAAATTTGCCTGGTTTAAGATTCCTTACCTATATAATTAGAAAAGTAGTATTAGTCCAGTCTCCCTCAAAGGCATGTTATTACAAATAGAAGGACATTTCAAAAGTGTAAACATTAGTAGTTATGTTAAAATTTCCTCCTTTACACCTTCTTTGTTGTCCTTTACTGACATCCTAAAAGTTCCACCACATTCCATCAGAGCTTTGAAACCTGGCTCATCTGTGCTGCCACCTCAAACCCCTCCTTCAGTGTAGATTACAGTGCCCAGCAACAGACTCACAGTTCTTTCATTTCTACCATGGCTTTCACCCCCTCTCCACTGTAGCCCCCCATTCCCATGTCCACACCCTGTTCTTTGTCTTTACCTGGAATTTATCAACCTTAGGAATCTTAGACTCCAGTGTCCCATCTATGGACATAACCTCCTGGCCTTCCAACAATACAACATCCTCACTTACATCTTGCGTATTCTACAGCATGACTCAGATCTCTGCCCATTGGTCCTTCCATTTAGCATCTATCAGCCCTTCCGTTAAGAGGAGGATCGTGGGAATGATCCCAGTGAAATGACTGCTTTGGTCATTTCACGCCTTCCAATTATCTGGGAAGGTTTTCTACACTTCTAGGTGGGTCAGCTCAACTACCAGTGGCGAAACTCACAAATTAAATGCTCACCGTATCCTGAATTTGCCTTCCATACTGCTATGCTCATGGTGATTTTTGCAATCTGGTATTCCTTCTTCAACAGGCAGAGGGAAGTATAGCAAGAATCAGCTTTTTCTTTTGATGTTGAGGTCAGGGATGAAACATACCTCATCATCAAAGGGACCCCAGGGCCAGCCTTAAGTCTAACAAGGTCAAGGTTCTCTGCCAGCACAAGTAGACTTCGGTTCTCTCTTGCAACCTTCCTCATCAGTTTTGAACATCAATTGTGACTTCATTCTCTGACTTCATGTTCTTTAGATGTAGAACCACCTAGCATAGACTGGTGCAGATCCCCACCTCCAGTCCAGGTCTCCGAGAAGGAGCATGCTGCCACCTGGGATGAGCCTCAGTTCTCGGACAACTCAGGTGAGAACGCAGAGGTCGTGTTGTCAGTATGTTACCACCAAATTATACTTTATTTTAAAAAGCTTTAAAAAAGGTAAAAGAGAAATGAAAAGCAAATTATATTTAAATAGAATGAATAATTATATAAGGTAAAATGTTTTAATGCTAGGATAAGTATATATAATTTAGCATTATTAATCTTACCTATTCATGGCGTTTCCTTTCATTCAGTATTCAGTGGACATTATTAAATGTGTACAAGGTGTTTTATTTGAAAGTGTTCTAATAAATTCATTGTCTCTAAGCTTCCATTGTCCTAAAGACATAAACTATGCATCCTATTGGTAAATCTAATGCAGTTCTGTGTTTTCATACTCAGTTCTTAAACATTTGTCAAAAAAGTTATAAAAATTCATGGGAAGACAGAAAAAAACGGGCTAATATAGCTGAAGTTCACTTTAAAGCTTTGACCAAAACCCCAAAAGCAATAAGAATGCAAGTTAAATAGATTTCTTAATTAAATTTCCAGTATTCACAGAGACTGACCTATCCAAGGAAAATAATTTATTTAGTAAGAATGCCTTAATTTAATAGGTTTTTGAGTCAACAATTTCTGTGTCATAGCGTAAAATTATATATTTTATTTTCTACTAGTGGCCAAATCAGTACAAATAGAATGCCCAGCTGGTTTGTGTAAATAGGAAATGAAAATTCAAATCAAATAAAGTGACTGCACACAGTAACCCTCAAATTGGATTCCTTCTTTCCGCTTCTTTCTTTGTAGGGGCTGTGTTGGCCATCACCAGAAGTCATACACCAGGAGACCTTTTCCCTCATGGGGAGACGGTAGTGCGGTACACAGCCACTGACCCCTCAGGCAATAACAGAACATGTGACATCCACATTATCATAAAAGGTATACTCTGCATAAGCCTCCAAAAATCTAGTTGAACTTGATATATGTAATCGCTATTGCACTCTATTTTATGAAAGAAAATAGTCTATGAGCAGTAGATGTTTAAAGTTAGAATACTGACAGATTTGACTGAGATTTCTGATTGTTATTCCTTTACTTCATGGTAAATAGAAATATTTTCTTCTGGGGTAGTCTTTAATTAACGACTTATTAACATTTTCTCCAAAGTTGTGAAGTATTGTTGTCATGATCCTATTCTGAATGCTTGAGGAGACAGATTCAGAAAATGTATTTCCTATGTAATGTTATCTGGTTTTCATTTTTCTTAAAGGAATGCCAAAAATAACTCGCAAATCAGAAGTACTTTATCTTTTCATAAAATATGCACAGTTACACAGAGGTAATTAATTACCCATAATTACACATAGGTACAGTGTTTTAACTATACCCACCTAGGAATCAAAAAGCAGACTTTGCAACAATCCCACACTAAGGATTTACTGTGAGAGTTTTTCTAGGAGTAGTGGTGGACAGGAGGAATCCTTTTCAAAATTCAGCTTAGACTCCTGGATTTTAATTTGTATTTCTTATACCACTGTATATGAGTAATACATTTTTTTTTACACAGGTTCCCCCTGTGAAGTTCCATTTACACCTGTAAATGGGGATTTTATATGTACTCAAGATAGTGCTGGAGTTAACTGCACATTAAGTTGCATAGAGGGCTATGATTTCACAGAAGGGTCTACTGACAAGTATTATTGTGCTTATGAAGATGGTATCTGGAAACCACCATATTCCACTGAATGGCCAGACTGTGCTAGTAAGTTCTAATTATTTTCTGGACTCCTTTCATATGTGTAAACATGTATTTGTCTGCCTATGTGTATAAATTTCTAAACATCAAAGGGAAAAATTGCTTTAATATAGGGATTAGGTTTGGTGAGTGAAAAATGGTGCCGTGAATTTGAAGTGTTTGCAGATGCGAGAAATGCTTGTCCCTTGACTTAACCTATTAGCCCCCCAGAGTCTTGCTATTCATTGGATTGCTATAGGATAAGATTCAGTTTATGGCAAAAGCATCTTGGCACTCTAATCTTTATTTACCAGAATTATCCCAGGAGACTTGTCAGCATGTCATTCTTGACTTGTAAACTTCAACTTATATAGTCTTATAGTCTTTAGAAGAGCTTATGTTTAAAGTAAGAGCCAATATACGTGATGCAGTGAGAGATCAGTCACATTCTCTTTAGAAGTGATTTAGATTTAGAGCTATTCTGTAATCTTATATATTATTATAAAAATAACCCAATATCTTTGTCTAGTGTAAATAATATTTTCTGCAGTGAATCTTTGATCTAGTACTGTAGATGAAGCTTAAATGCCAATGTCTTAGAAGAAGAGTAAAGCCCACTTACTTGAGCTATTTTTTTCCCCAAATTTGGGAAGCAAATAAAAGTGGTATCACTCACCTCTATCAAAGATTTAGACAGTAGGATTTTTTTTTTTTTTTTTTTTTTTTTTTTTTCGGTTTGGTTAATGTGGAATGGAACCACATTCCCCTCCCTAGTACAATTCCACCATCTCTCAGTGCTGACATATTGCTACTGAAGAGGAATGGCCTTTAGCCAATTGTTTTGTGTTCTCAGTTAATGACCACCATTACTGTGTCATTTGGTCTAGAGAAACATGTCCACTGCCTAGAGCTCTTCTCACAGTAATTGGCCTGTGCAGTGTCACTCTTACTTGATGTTCACTGTGTGTTGCTATAATCACAATGATTATTTCCCCAATTTATTTCACTATAGACATAAATTGAATCTACTCACTGATTTAGCAAACACCTATATTTATTAAACATCCATCTAGGTGCTAGTTGCTATGTGTGATGTGGAAAAATAGAAGACATAGCATTTATGGTTTAGAAATTGAAGTCTAGACAAGGCATTCATAAAAAGTTAAATACTGCATATATACACTAATATGCAAAAAATGGATAACTAATAAGAACCTGCTGTATAAAAAAATAAAATTAAATTTAAAAATTCAAAAAAAAATTTCACACAGAGAAACACCCAAATGTGACAGAACTAATGAAAAAAAAATATTGCAAGTCTTTACATGGTGGGTCAGAGAAATGATTCAGAATATTTTCAGTATAACCATGCACTCTTTCATCCATCAACTTAAAAATACTTACTGAGTGCCTACTGTGAGAACAGTTTATGGCTAGAGGCAGAATGCTGAGATGTACTTAACCAAGATCCTGCTTTTAAGGAAGTTTTGGAAGGCAATTTAGAAATAGCTAATAAGAAAAAAAGTGGACATACTCTGATCCAGAATTTTCATTTCTTGGTTTGTACCAAAGATAGACATTCATTCATGTGCACAGAAAGGGCATATACAATTACGGTAATTGCAGTGATGTTCATAATATCATAATACTGCAAACAACCAATACTGCAAATGCACAATAGGTGAGTATCTAAATAAACAGAGGTTAAAGCCATACAATGAAAATTATACGAAGGTTAAGAAGAAGGAGTTAGATCTATCAGTAGATCTTTAGGGTACACTTTAGAATTAAGTAAGTGGCAAGTAATTATGTATGTTGTCCTTTCTTTCATGAAAAATGTAAAGCAAAGGGAAAAAAAAGCATGACACAAAATAATTTTATACATCTTCTAGGGGACAAAGATATTTATGTAAAATACAAAACAATGAAAGACCAGAAGTTCTAAAGGCTACAAATGAAAGTGATAACAGTGGTTACCGCTGGGTAGGTTTGGAGGAGCTGGGATTGAGGATATTTGTGAAAGGAAATCTTAGCTTAACTTTGACATATTTTTTTAAGGAAATGTATTTATATTTAAAAAATTTTCTTGAGTGGTAAATACCACAGAAATGGGTAAATAAAATTCTATGGGAATCCCCAGTGCCTAGTACGTTGTTTACTGAATTGCACTAAAGTAAAAACTTAAGAGAAAGGGGAGAGAGTTTGAGGCTGGAAGCATCAGGGCAGGCTTTAATGAGGCAGATATATTTGAGCTGGTCCTTAAAAAGGAGAGGTATTGGAGGTGTGGAGGAAAAGGGTGCCATGCAGGTTCTGTAGTGAGGACATGGGTGGAGAAATTCCTCTGTAAATAATCATGTTATTTAGGAATAAAGATTTCCTTCCTTTCCAATCTGCAGGCTGTTTATTTTTTTATCTTGCATTATTGCACTGGCCAGGACACCCAGTTCAATGTTAAAAGAAGTGAAAGCAGACACACTTCCTTTCTTCCCAATCTTAGGGGAAAGGATTTTTTTTGTGGGGAAAGGGTGTTGGTGGTGAGGTGCCTGTTTCTTTTCATTTATTCATATATATATATATATATATATATATATATATATATATATATATATATTTGTATCCGTAACAGGGTTGAGTGGCTTAGATTTTGGATAGATTCTGAAAGTAGATATAGTGGTAGTAGTAGATTTGATACAGAGTGTGAGAGAAAGAGGCATGAAGGAGGCGGAGTGTACAGGAGCATAGATACAGGAGTGAGTCCACATGGTGATGTAAGTGTGTGAAGGAAGGATCTTTTGTGACTATTTGATCTGTGAAAAAAGATGCGGAATGATCAGCCTGGAGTGTGGATGGGGAGGAGTTGCTGGAGGGTTGAGAAAACAGAACATGGTATAAAATAATTTTCTAGGAGAGCATAAATGAATATTCTAGGGAAATGTAGTAGGCTTGGCAGTGAGCAGCATTGTGTTTTCTCCTAAGCTGTAGTTGAGCATGTGGGTGCAAATGTGGAGAAAGCAGAGCAATGAATTTAACCGGGGTTAAAGGTTCTCCAGGCAAACAAATTGAGGAGGGTGCATGCACGGGAGTAATTCATGGTGGTAGACCATGGGATCCAAGATGGGCAAATAAGGAAGTGAAGACATCAGGAGTTGAGAGACAGTGCGGAGGTGGGTAGCATCAGTGGATTATAGATTCTGATGAAGTCAAAGAATTGTTGGATTCTTGGGAGTAGGAGAAGGTGCAGTTACTGGTAACGACGAGGTCTGAGGGTATGATCATGAGACATACCCTCAAGTGTATGTCTCATGTATGTCAAGTGACAAAGTAGAGCTGGGGGCTTCCCTGGTGGCGCAGTGGTTGAGAATCTGCCTGCTAATGCAGGGGACACGGGTTCGAGCCCTGGTCTGGGAGGATCCCACATGCCGCGGAGCAACTAGGCCCTTGAGCCACAACTACTGAGCCTGCGCGTCTGGAGCCTGTGCTCCGCAACAAGAGAGGTCGCGATAGTGAGAGGCCCGTGCACCGCGATGAAGAGTGGCCCCCACTTGCTGCAACTAGAGAAAGCCCTCGCACAGAAATGAAGACCCAACACAGCAAAAATAAATGAATAAATTAATAAACTCCTACCCCCAACATCTTCTTTAAAAAAAAAAAAAAAAGTAGAGCTGGAAGACAGAAGAGGAAGAGGAAGTGAGACTCCAAGGTGATAGAAGGATCAGCTGGGTGGATGCAGAAATCACCGAGGGCTGTAACAGGGACGGTTACCAAGCGCTCTCAGAATGAGAGGGTGACTCAGAGTCGGGGAGGGCTGTAGGTGATGGCCACAAGGAGGGTCAGTGTGTGGTATAGTTGATTGCAGGAGGTTCAAAACTGTGAGGCTTCAAGGAGGTTCATGGGAGCATGATCTGGAAACAGCAGTAAAGAGTGAGGAGGACACTTCCTCCATGCCCACCACCTAAGAAAACTAGCAAGTCAGGTTTCACTGAGAGCAAAAATGAAGAGAACATAAAGAGAGGAGGTTAAACAAAATAATAATAATAATAATAGGAGATTGGCTGATTACTGACTGTGCGTTTCAGAGGGCATCGAGGAAGGTTTTGAGGACTTGGAGAAGGGTGGGAGATAGGGTCAGAGAAAAGGGATCTAAAGAGCCATTAATAAAATGTTGTAGTTCAACTGCACTTCAATTTTTAAAAAGCCAAATGGGGTGAAAGTTAAGAGACGAGATATCCCAAGAGTCCTGGGTTTCTTGTGGTTAAGTGATGTAAACCGAAAGAAAAGGCATGAGGCTAATCCTGGTGGTCCACAGGCACTTAGAGGAGGTAAGGGAGGGCGTGGAGGAGGGTCAGGAGCCTTTTTAAGGGCAGACAGAGCTCTAGGGCCCTCCCCTCCCTCCTGCTGATGGAGAAGTGAAGGCCAGAGGAGCAGAGGGCTTATCCAAGGCACACCCAGATGTGAAGTACATTTCGTTCTCTTCATTTTTTATTTGCAGGTCCCATCATTTTGTAGTGATGCTGATGACATTGACTGCAGACTGGAGGACCTGACCAAAAAATACTGCCTCGAATATAATTATGAGTATGAAAATGGCTTTGCAATTGGTAATGAAATTATTTAGTGTGGGTAGTTGGCAAAACTGATCTGCAGACTAAGAAAATCATTCCAGAAGAGTGGGGCAAACTGGAAAAATGATCTTTCATTCATTTATTCATCAAGTATTTTAGGATGACTAGATAACTTGATACTGTGCTTAATGATCTTTATTAATATATTTCATTGGGGGTATCAAATAAATTCTTTCAAGATATTAGCCAAAATGCCTCAGGATGATAAAAAAATAAGAAAACTAAGTCACATTATGATTGTAAAATTTCAAATATTCATATGAGATCTTAGAAGAGAATAGTAATAACTATAAAGTACTAACAACAATTTTTATATGGCATTTAACTTAAATTGTGAGTAAGCCATTTGTTCAAGTCTAATATACCTTCAAGTGGAATTCTGATGTTTTCTTTATGTAGAGTCTGAACACTTTTTTCTTGTTTTTTGGGGGTTTTTTTGAAATATAATTGACATATAACTCTTATTAAAGCTACTCCATAGTGTGCTGTGTGATTTTTTTTTTGGCTGGTCCAACTGACCATTTAGCTTACTGTCTTCAGATTTCTAGATTTCAATTGTGTCTCTCAATTAGCAAAATTGTCCTTTCCAGTAATTATTTTTATTTCATTCTTATAAAACTGTCCAGAACTTGCAGAGTAATGCTTTAAAATATAATAGTGATAACAAAATAGTGTTGTGTTTAAAGCACATGAACTCTACAAGCAACTAGTAAGGTCCGAATCCTGGCTTCCCCACCAACTAGGTGTGTGGTCTTGAGCCCAAGTTCTCAAACCACTCTGTGCCTCCATTGTCTCACCTATAAATTGGGTATATAAGAGTACTGAACTCATAGAGCCATTGTAAGGATTAAATGAGGAAGTACAAGTATAAATAAAGTGCTTAGAAGGTTATTTGAGACAGTATTAATTCACATGACAGCAGACATCCTTTTTGTTTCTGACACGTCATGTTTTTAGTGATTCAGCACTGAGTGATGTTGAATGTTGCTTTAGATTTTTAAATTTAAAAATATTATTTGTGGGCTTCCCTGGTGGCGCAGTGGTTGAGAGTCCGCCTGCCGATGCAGGGGATACGGGTTCGTGTCCCGGTCTGGGAAGATCCCACGTGCCGTGGAGCGGCTGGGCCCGTGAGCCATGGCCGCTGAGCCTGCTCGTCCGGAGCCTGTGCTCC